CAATATTTATAAAACCTCTTACTTCTAAAAATATTTAAAAAACTTCTTACTTCCAACAATATTTATAAAACCTCTTACTTCCAACAATATTTATAAAACCTCTTTCTTCCAACAATAATTATAAAACCTCTTACTTCTAACAATATTTAAAAACCTCTTACTTCTAACAATATTTAAAAACCTCTTACTTCTAACAATATTTAAAAACTTCTTACTTCCAACAATATTTATAAAACCTCTTACTTCTAACAATATTTAAAAAACTTCTTACTTCCAATAATAATTAAGTAAGAGGTTTTATGGTTTTATAAATATTGTTGGTCTTACTTCCAACAAAATTTTTTAAAACCTCTTACTTCCAACAATATTTATAAAACCTCTTACTTCCTACAATACTTACATAACATATCACTAAAAAAAATATATATATTTTAAAAAATTACCAGCTGTGCCTTACATACACACACACACACAAATTGTATTATTCTTCCCTAACTGAAAAGAAAAACCAAATACCAGCAGTGACGAAGTTATCCTTTCCAGTAGGCTGCAGCTAAGAGCAGGTTAAATGTTAACTATTGAAAATACAAAACATGCAAACAGTAATCAAAACAAAACTCCATTTTTTTAACTCATCCTTTTATTCCCTATGGATGGGAGTAGAAAATGTCACCGGTACTGGAAATTTTCAAGCATTCACAAATAAATCTTTCCAACTTTGCAAACACACACACACACTATAATCACTAACAGTATGCTCGTGGAAAAGATCACTGCACAAGACAGAAAATATTATTAAAAAACAAAAGGCGAAAATCGAGTATGGAACTAAAGAAAAAAATGCCACAATAAACCAAGTCTGGAAGTCCTACCTCACACACTAGTTCTGTTTTCACTAAAAAACAATCTGTACAGAGTTCTGTACCCAATAACAAGCTATTCCAGCCGCATCTTTCAGATATTAATTGACACGTGATCAAGTACTAGCTGGTAGCACAATAACATTTTGAAGAAATTTGATTTACTAAACATAAACCAGCTGAACCGTGTTCATTTGACTTATCCAACCTACGAGGAAAAACTTTTTCTCTCTCTCACAATCGTGTATTAATAGTAGTTACAAAACATAGAACAAATATAACTAAAAGAATCTAACTGATAATTTTTCCTTACAAAGAATCTGCTGATTTTGATGTATCTTATACTTTAATAAAACATTATCTAATTATTCATGGCAAATGTTGACGAAAAAATGCGTGTTGGTGTGAAATACAAGTTTATTCTTGTTTTTTAAATTCTGGTGAAAGAACAAGATTTGGTAAATTTCAGTCGTATACCGAGGATACGGAGAGTTCTTGTACAAGTCTGTTTAAACTGTGATGAGCTATTGATTGTGTTATTCTTTCAAATGCTCTCTGTACAGGACACAATTACTCACATTCTGGTTGAAGCAGAATTAGTGACAAGTAAAGAAGGACTGAATTGGTGTTTTCAACATGTTTTTAGAAACTATTTTTTGGTCTATATAAGGTTCCTTCTAACAAACAAGTCACATAAAACACTTTACAACCAAAAACCTTCAGTACTGTGATTATTTTCCACTAAGTATTATAGTTGGGTGACTTTTCCTAATTTTTTTGGTTAATTCTCTACAGCGAGTGTCGTAAAATGCAAAAAAAGGAAATTAATAAATATAATGTGGATCCTAGAGGTAGTGAACAGTACAGATAAATATAATGTGGATCCTAGAGGTAGTGAACAGTACAGATAAATATAATGTGGATCCTAGAGGTAGTGAACAGTACAGATAA